GCTCGTGCACACTCTTGGTTGCTCTCTCTCTCCATTGGGCTTTCTTCCAGCCTCTCCAGCACTAGATTTTACCTCTGTCTCTCTCTCTCTCATATTCATTCACGTGAATTGTCTGTGAAACAATTCGGTGGATACTTGCACCAGTTTCTGTTCATGTTCATTTTCGGGACTCTCTCTCTCTCTCTCTCTCCCCCCCTCTCTCATACACCTTCCTTCTCATTTGTGTTAACAGGTAATTGAGCACATGGAGGAGGATCAAGCACAAGTCTTTGGAGATCTATGCTTGGGTTCTTTTTGTCCACAGACGCTCATCGTCTCTACTCCCAACCATGAATACAACCCAATTCTCCAAAGAGCGGCAACCCCCGACTTAAAGTCCCCTGAGTGCCCAAAAGGCCTTTCAGAGAGAGACAACGTGACCCTTCCCTGCATGTCCTCTGAGTGCCCCAAAGAACTTGAAGAGGGAGAAACCTTCACTCTATCCTGTAAATTCCGGAATTTCGACCATAAATTTGAGTGGACCAGAAAGCAGTTTAGTGAATGGGCGACAAAGCTTGCGTTGAGACATGGATACTCTGTGGAGTTTAGTGGAGTTGGAGGGTCAGCTGACATTGAGCCTGGTTTTGCCTCTCAGATTGCGGTTTTCAAGAGAGAGAAATCTGATATTTCACAAAACGGGGCTAGAAGCAATCGATCTGAACCGTACAATGTATTATGGGAATGGAAGGCAGACTGAGGGGTTTGAAAGTTTTTTTATCCTGTGAGAATATGCATAGTTGTTACCTCTCCCCCTCTATAGGTGATCTTAAATTATATATTGTTACGTCTTTGTGTTTATAGTTGTAACTTATCTTATGATAAATAATGATAAATTTTGTGTACATATTTTTGTTACCTCTCCCCCTCTATACGTGATCTTAAAATATATATTGTTACGTCTTTGTGTACATATTTTTGTTACCTCTCCCCCTCTATAGGTGATTTTAAATTATATATTGTTACGTCTTTGTGTTTATAGTTGTAACTCATCTTATGATATTAAAACCCCTTCCCAGATTTCTCCATGTGTTTTTTATCAGGCCTTTGTAAGTGATGATAAATTTTGTGTACATGTTTAAAACCCCATGTGTTTTTTATAGGCCTTTGTTGACTATTCATTTTCAACCCATGTGTTTTTTATCAGGCCTTTCAACCCATGTGTTTTTATCAGGCCTTTCAAGCCATGTGTTTTTAATCTGGCCTTTGTTGACTATTCATTTTCAAGTGTCTTTCAATATCATAAGTAAAGGTAGAATTTGATGCTAGAACCATTTGTTTAGCACTTGAATGTTTTGTTTAGCACTTATGTTGGTATTTCGACTTAATATAAAAGGACAACTTTTTTGTCTATTTTTTGGAGCTTTAATTTCAATATCATAATTAAAGGTAGAATTTGATGCTAGAACCATTTGTTTAGCACTTGACAACTTTTTTGTCTATTTTTTGGAGCTTTAAATTTCAATATCATAATTAAAGGTAGAATTTATTGCTAGAACCACTTGTTTAGCACTTGAATGTTTGTATTTCGACTTAATATAAAAGGACAACTTTTTGATGCTAGAACTATTTGTTTAGCACTTGAATGTTGGTATTTCGATTTAATATAATATCATAGTTAAAGGTAGAATTTGATGTTAGAACTATTTGTTTAGCACTTGAATGTTGGTATTTCGACTTAATATAAAAGGACAACTTTTTTGTATTTATCTCAGTGTATAATTTATATAAGGCGTAAATCTTAAACAATTAAAGAACCTCCAAACCCATGTTAGAATGGTGATGGAAGGACTCACAATGGCTTGCAAATCTACTAATACCCCTAATTTCCAAACTATAAAATGGCTTGACAATCAACTATTATCTCTAATTTTCAAACCTCACAATGGCTTAAAAATCTACTAATACCCCCAATTTCCAAACTATACAATGGCTTGAAAATCTACTAATATCCCTAATTTCCAAACTTAAAACTTCAAGGAAAAGTTCCCTAATTTCCAAACTTAAAACTTCAAAGGAAAAGTTTATAAAGTTTATGTAGAGCCGAGGCTATAAACAATTCTACCTCAAGAATTTCACTAGAAGAGGTGAGGTGGTTTTGATGTCAAAATATCTTCAATTTTCAAGTTTTCAAATTTTCATTTGATGTCAAAATATCATCAATTTACAAGTTTTCAAAAA